ACATTTCAGTTCAAACAACTTGTAAAAGTGCATGTCGCATCCGATAACCCCTTTAAGGATTTGATGAATTTTAAGGATAATCTCATCACACACAATCACTGGTCCCCTTTCATTCTCTTCCATGTTTTACTTTAATCTCTTTCTGGCTGTTTATCTCTGCCCTTAGGCTTGCTACAACCAGATTCAGCTTGAGAAGACGACATAGGAGGGGTTGGTTTGTGAGTGGTCTTACGGAGTAGGTGCCATTTAAATAGACATGGATTACAGGTCAAATCAAGATGTGCTTATTTATTTCAGGTCTCAAAAATAAGCTCACTTTCCATTCATCTCTCTTAAGCACTGTTCTACAGAGATTACTTCAATTGTTATAACTTTTGAGACTCTCACATTGACCATCTGACTGACAGTAAAGTTACCCCTTGAAAAAACATGTACATTTCAACAACCACATTACCTGGGCAGAAAAGAGGCTTTTTCTGTTTTATACAAGATAAAGAATAAGCACTCTGCATGTGTCACTAAGGTTATTATTACATGCAATTTCGGTAATAACCGACACTCGTTACTATATATAATATTCTGTATCAATCTGTCTCTGGCTTTTGTACTGATACTCAAATATCAGAATTTACACAAAAAAACAAGGAAGGGGGGTTTTGAATGAATTCTCTCGGATTGACAGTGACTTTAACAAATACGTTTACCCTGTATAGAAATACAGTAATAAACTAAAACCACCCTTATTTATATAAGCAACAGCAATAAATGTCAAATATTTTGCTTGGGTAAAACCCATACCTAAACTACTGTTTAAACATTTGGTGTCGGCAAGTTTAAAAAAAAATTTTTTTTTAATGTTTTTTGAAAAAAAAAAAGTCTCTTATGCTTAACAATGCAGCATGTATTTGATCAACATACAGCAAAAGAAGTAATATTATTTCAAATTTCATATTATTTCAATTTAAAATAACTATGCAAAGCTGAATTTTCATTACTCCAGTCTTCAGTGTCACATGATCCTTCCGAAATCATTCTAATATGCTGATTTGCTGCTTACGAAATATTTATTATTATTATGAGTGCTGAAAACAGTTGTGCTGTTTAAAATTTTGTGCATACTGTTGAAAATTTCAGTCACTTTTAGTCAATTTATTGCATCCTTGCTGTATAAAAGTTTTAATTTCTTTCAAAATTTCTTACTGATCCCAAACTTTTGAACGGTAGTGTACAAAAATTATCCTTCTTAAGGAACTTGGTTCATTATCACTGGCTTTAGGAAATTCACTGAAATGAGTCAGGCTTTCCAGTGCTTTTTAAGAGAGAGATTCAAGGAGACAGCATGTGCTATTTTGTTCATTTGCACCGTTGTAAAGCAGTGGCATCAGTTTTTAGAAAACGTAGCTTGTTACTGTAAAAGCTTTGAAAATAGTTAGTCACCCTACTGAAAAATGTAAACAAGTTCATAGTATCGCTACTTTTAACTTGTACTCAATACTAAAAAAATCCTAAAGCTGCATCCCTAGTAATAAGTACAGTGTAGTTTTTTTTTTATTGGGTTACTGGTTTTGTTGCCATTTCAAGTCTTGAGAATGCGGTGTAGGTATTATAAACTGCAAGTAGAGATTTTTGACTTAATAGTGTTATTGAAGCCCCTACATGTAAAGTCAAACAATATTGAGTTGTATTTTAAAAATTACCTGTATAATCCATCTGTGTAACTTTGAAACACCATGGGTATTTTGAGAAGTGGTTTCCATTTCAGCATGACATGAAACTTTTTACTGTATGAAATTTGATTTAGTTGTAATTATAATATCTAGTCTTATCAAGCTGTACCAGAGTGAATTT